ATAACAAATATTGTAATATTTGAGGGGCGTTTTCACCCTCATATTTTATGAAACACCCTGTATAAATTTATAAAAAATCTTAAAATATGTAAAACAACAAAATAAAATATACGCGTTTTAAGAGTTTTTCCGAAAAACTCACCGGTTTTTAAAAAAAATATTTTAATATTTGAGGGATGATAGTTTCACCCCCTTAGAATTCGAGTTTCGAAAAGTCCCTTTTTATCGAACCTCTACACCCTAGAATAACTAACTGAAAGAAATGAAAACTCCTATGTTAAAGCCTGGAAACACGCGCTCGACGCGATCCAAGCGGGCTACTGGCAGAACTAAAAGTTCGCGCCATATTTTTAAATGGACCTTTACTGCCAGTGCATAAGTTTTTTACTTATATTTGGTAATTTCAATCTAGATTATGAATTTATTTGTAACAAAACACTTTACAAAATAAAAATAATGTATTTTGATACAAATAAATTAATAATCTAGGTTGAAATTATCCCTGAAATTAGAATAAAACACGAAAAATCTGTAACTTGATTATTTTATTATAACATTGTTAAAATTACATATAACACATTCAACACTATACAAGTATATATAAAAGTTATCAGAATTTATACAATCAGTTATAAGTAATTATAAAAAGGGGTTATAAATTATAAATAAATAAATCATTAAATAAAAAGACTATATACCTAGTTAACGTGTATATAATTTGATAATATAACTTTAATCTCAACTTTAATGACCTATTCAAATAGAAACATCTTACAATTCGCGTTATATAATACACAAAGCCAAGGGACAAAATTGTTAGTAAATCTATTCTCGATGACTCAAAGCATTTTTTTACAAACAAAACAGGACATATAAAGCTTATAAATAATACAAGGGTATAGAAAATATATAAATAAGTAAATACAAATATATTCTCAAACTAAATGATTAATGATTATACTCGTTTAAATAAATAAATGATCTTTTTAGAATTACTTGTTTGCCTTTGCAAATTTATTTAATATTTATCTAAAAGCGAACACTTACATAAATTACTGCACAACCTTTAAAATTAATTTTTTAATATGTGTTATACAAATTCATGATTCGATATAAATTCATTTAAATAAAACTTTAAAATTAATGATCTTCCAAATTTTTGAGACAGCCATTTTGTTGAAAGAATTTGTTTTGATTATGAGAAATTTCATAAAAATTATCACAGGGATCAATTAATCTTATATATCGAACTACTTGGCTCTTAAATTTCACAATCCTATCGTCCAAAATACTCTAAATTCGAGAAAATCCGTAAAATATTCCCATAAGAACAAATCACAATTCACTTCATTGGCTTTCACTTTACAGAAACTCGCAGAAACTGACAGACTGGCCAAATATGGAATGACGTTTATTTTTCAATTTATTTTACTAATCTAACTGATCCGGGTCACTTAGAAATTAAATTTTTACTAAATTATTTAATTATAATTGTTTCTGGCGAAAGCAAACTTCATACCAATATTTATTCATAGAGTAACAAAGCACATCACTGTTAAATTATCAACATTTTATATAAATATTTATATTTTTCAACTTCTCCAACTACTCAATTACCTTCAACAGAGAATCAAACGAATTGTTAATTAAACTATACTCTAAAATCATGATGAAATTAAAGTCCCTAGATGAATATCTAGGGACTTTAGATGAAATTTCTACGCAGCGCCATCTATCCCTCTACTGGCAGAAACTCCGCCGTGTTTCCAAAATTCAAATGGCAGTTTCATCCGCCTGCTCTACACCCTAAAGTCAATCTGTTTTCAAAAATCAGCTTTTTACGTCAAGCGCTTTAAGCAGGATCCTGATTAATCAATGACCAGATTTTTCGAAATACCCTATATACTTTTTAAATTTTTAAAAAATATTAAAATATGTAAAAAAACAAAATAAAATATACGTGTTTAAGCGTTTTTTCGGAAACTTGACCGTTTTTTAAACAAAAAATATTGTAATATTTGAGGGACGGTTTCACCCTCTTGGAACTGGAATCTCGAAAAATCCCTTCTTATCGAACCTCTACACCCTAGAATCAACCTGTATGCCAAAATTGAGCTTCTTACGTTGAGTGGTTTGAGCAGGATCGTGATTAATCAGTATGTCAGTCACTTAAGGATTTTATATATCAGTATAGATTTCTTTAAATCTAGGTACAAAATTCTCCCCCAAAAACAGTTATGAGATAGAATTATTAGAATTTAATACTAAAATTAAAAATAATAGATAAATTTACTAATATTTTTACTTGTTTTTAGCTAGTGGAGAAATTATTGACGCCACCCAAGAATTATTCACTCTATCCCTGTGCAACGTACTAGGATCCTTTTTTTCTTCCATGCCCGTCACTGGTTCGTTCTCTAGATCAGCTGTCAATCACGCCAGTGGCGTACAAACACCGTTTGGTGGCATTATAACAGGTAAAATGTGTTTATTTTGCAGTACAAATATTCTCTCGGTAAGTTCAAATATTTTAACTGGTAGTATGACCCCAAGGCACGCCTATGATTATGTATTATCATACAGGGTGCGCCAAAAAGTTCTCAAAAAATACATTTCTTGTTCTTTCAGGTATAATGGTACTATTGGCGTTGGGATTTCTCACGCCCTACTTTGCCTACATCCCCAAAGCATCCCTGGGCGCTGTGGTGGTTTGCGCTGTCATTTTCATGATAGAATACGAGGTGATCAAACCGATGTGGCGATCGAGCAAAAAAGACCTACTTTCCGCCATTGCGACGTTCGTGTTCTGTCTGGTCATTGGCGTGGAATACGGAATTCTAATCGGCGTCGCTATTAATATCATGTTTTTGTTGTATCCTTCGGCCAGGCCTGGAGTACATATGGAGAAATGCATGGTAAATATGAATATTACAAATTTTCAGTATTTTTATCAATATTCTTATGTGTATTTGTCTATGTAAGGTTAATTTTGAACGATATTTTCACCTACTTTTTTTGATTACTTAACTTAGCACTTATTTAAGAGACTTTATTCTTACAATGTTATACTAAATATTTTTCATTTTAGTCATCATTTTTATAGTTATTCTCTTCATTCCAGACACCTTCTGGTAAAGAATACATTCTAGTCACCCCCGGAAACGCTCTGTACTTCCCCGCAATGGATTTTATCAAAACCAGCGTTGCCAGAGCGGGAACATCGTCGAAAAATTTGCCAGTTGTTGTCGATTGTCAGTTTATTTTAGGTAAAAAGGTTTTTCCTTGATTAAAACTTTGTTTATTAGTGTTTTAGTAGGATTTTGTAGCAATAATAATTATTTCAGGAGCTGATTTCACAGCTGCAAAAGGTATAGCTGCCCTCATTAGCGAGTTTTCTTCGAGAAAACAACCCTTGTATTTCCTAAACGCTCGTCTAGAGGTTGTTTCAGTATTCCAAGGTGTCATGTCTGACGATTTTGTCTATTTCAATTGCAAAAAGAAACTGGAAGATACAATAGAGGAAGGTAACTACAATTTTGACATCACACAACAAAACAATGCACACTAGATTTCGGTCCTATTTTTTTTAAAACTATTTTTTACCACTTATATGTTTACAGGAAATAAAAACAAATTCGTTTATTGTCTTTTAATTAAATGTTTGTGTCAGTCTAAGATTTTTATATGTAAATAAATACATCAAAATATTAAATACATAGCCTACTAAAGGTATAAAGTTATTTGGTATGTACAGGGTGGGTCAAAACACAATTTTATATTTTTCTCCACTGTTTCAAATGAAACGTCTGTATTTTGTATTATAAAACAACAGTTTTGTTTAATTTGTTGTTCTATTAAGCACTTTCATTACCTGAAATCGATATCTACTAAGAAAATGTTTTTTTTTTGAAAATATAACAGAAGACTTGTTTTTCACGCATATATTAGTAGTTATTTGCCGTAAAATTGACATTTCTATCTGCCATACAGTAGAATAGAACTAGAAAACCTTCTAATTAACTCAATAATTAATTTTTCGCCTGGTAAACTCAAAAATACTAGAAATAGTAATTATAAAACGCAAAATTAGTTTATTAACTTCTATTTTAAATAAATAATTAATCAAAAATAGGGTTAGATAAAAACCTACGTTCATTTATGTTATAAAATTCAAGCTGTTTCATTTTTTTTGTTTTTTTTTTTGATTATTTTATAAATAAAAACGACAAATAACAAATATTTACACAATTTTGTGATATTTAAGACTTTGAACATGTCTACTCAACTACTTCATATTATAAATGTGATTTCTATAAAAAAAATACTCTTACATAGTATATTTAAAAAGAATTTATGAAAATTAATATACAGGGTGGTCATAATTATAGGTCAAACTTTTTTAAAGATTTTTTATTGCTTTTTTGTACGACTTTATGTTTTCAGGAAATAAAAATAAGTTAATTTATGACTTTTTATTTTACTTAAATGTTTGTGTTAGTCTTATACACTTATATCTATGAAAACACATCGAAATTTATCTTTTAAATACTTTTTATGAATGTAATATTACACAATATTTTGATATTTAGGTTTAGTACATTTGAACTACTTCCTATTTTAAGTTGTTTAAAAGTATTCAAAATGATTGTAATATTAAAAACAGTAAATTTTAATATTTTTATTAAAAAAAGGAAAAATAAAACGTATACAGTGTGGTCAAAATTTTGATTTTTTAGGAGCAATAATATCAAGCGAAGAACAGAAATTATTGTGTTACCATCCAAACGAAACCATATCGAAGACAATGGAATTAAAAGAGATTTCCTGTACGAATGGTTCTTCGAATCACATCCAACACAGGAAAAATTCGTGTAAACACTAAAAACACAACCCCCGGTATATTAGTATTAATAATTTTAAGCTCTCTGAACTTTTCAACTAGAGAAAAATTTATTTTTTTGTACTTTTATTTTTTAACATTATTTATTTTAAAATTTTGGAATTTATAATTAAATATTTGTTACAGAAGAAAATTCTGTAAACAATTAAAAATCTCTCTAATTTTTAAAATTACTCATGACGTTATTAAGACAATTTCTTTTTGTACTTTTATTTTTTAGCAGTATTAACTAGGAAAGAAAAATTGTATTATATACAGGGTGTAGATAAATAGGTCCGAAAAGAATTACGCGAATATGTAGGTTATATACCGAGTGATCAAACACGACTAAGCGTTTTAAAAATATAATATTGTGTAAGGATCAACATATACACAAACTACTTTAATCTTTTTTAATACTATTTATTACAAAATACATTTTATTAAAAAATTAGATAAGCTTAAATCTAAAAATCTTTTAAATGGAACGATATAACAATAAAAGTAGCAACAAATAAAAAAAAAGTGTTTTATTTTAAAAAACAGCGTCACAGTAGGCTTTAAAATAAAAATAAAATAAGCAATAAGCTACGAATTTCTGGACCTGTATTTATAGGAACTTTTTTTCTATATTTTTCGATGAACACCCTGAATACTGCACGTACAGGGGTCGACCCGAAAGAAATTATCATCGATTATCATTACAAAGGCTACTTTGACGGATTTTTTTCTCTCAAAAATATGGTATTTTAGGCATTGGCTTTGCCTCTAGCTCTACTACCCCTACCCCCTCTACTTCCCCTGCCCCTGGCGGGAACTCGGCCCCCTCTAGAACCGGGCCCCGTTTTAGGCCTTTCCTGGTCTGGCGGAGGCGAATCCACAGTTCTTATACTCATATCGGTAGATTCTTCGTCAGAGTCTTCGCTATCGTTCGAATTGTTTTTGGTTCTTTTTCTCGGACTTTTAGTTCGATTTAAAACGTCCCGTATCTAACAAAAAAGTCGATTAAGATTACAGGAAAGTGTTTTTTTTTAATCAAAATGCCCGTCCCATTTTTTCCTCAGGGTGTTTTGAATTTATTGCACAAAACGAAGTTTTGATTTACCCCGGTATAAACCCACCTAACCGAAACATATAAGCCGTTAAAATAGCATATATATATATAAATAAAAAAAATCCGGGGTGTTTAGTTTTGTTTAGTTAAATATTATTTTGTTTTGTTCAAAAAATGTGTTACTTTTTATTTTTTTATATTTTTTTTATTTAATTAAATTGCTTAAATACCTATTTTTTACAAATATAAAATTGTAAAAAAATATAAAAATGATAAAATTTATTGATAGAAAAATCTATGTAGGCGTCACGTCAGTAGGCGAAGCCTTGAAAATATCACAGTTGCCAGGTCTGGGGAATTTTCCCTGGATCTAGGGAAAATCAAATTTGCAAAGGGAGGAAAAATTGCAAAAAAAAGAATGTGTAGGACAATCTAAAGAAAAAATAATTTTTTTTATAAAAATATTTAGTGATAAATGCATTCTTCTGATAATATCGCCAAAAAAACGTTTAAAACAATAGTTTTTACTAATAATAATAATATTTTAAACAGTTTCTTTCAATTATTTTGAGATATAAACAAAAATTATAACTAATGAACTCGATATTATTGAAAATATTGCAATAGTTAGACCGAGATTGTTATAAGTTAAGAAACTTTGAAGTATTAATCTAGGAAATTTGAAAATTTCGATCTGGCAACCCTGAAACACATAGATATCGACTATACTCACCATTTGAGCGTCATTCTCCTCGTTTACCCTTAAAGACTCCAAAAATTCATCCATCTTATCGATACTAACATTCCCAGCTTCCAATTTAGCCTGTCTATCGGCAATAAAATGACTGAAAAAAAAAATTAAGTTAACATAACCTCATTTTTTTCTCCCTCTCCAACTTAACATACTTGATAACAGACTCAATGTAATCCATGTTATCAGACTCAATACACTTGGACACTGTCTCATTTAGAGCTTTCAGGGGCATAAACTCTAACGGTCTCGTTTGACCTGATTCGAAATATTCCAAAACCAGGTCTTCCACGCGAGCTGGAATCTCTTCTTCGGCTACTTCTTCGAAATCTTCGTCGTTGGACTTATTTTTGTTCCTTCTAAAAGCCTGCCTGGCCGACAGGTGTTTCACCTTAACCATATCGCCGGGGTTTGCCACTCTACCAACGTAGGCCTCTCCGAACCTTATGGGATTAAACGCTTGCGTTTCATCGATGTAGCTGACGTTTAATCGTATCAAAGGCAACTTATTACCTTCCCTGCCTAAACTCAGCGCTTTTTCCAGCATCTCCTCCACCTTTTTCCCCACAACTTTCCTAGCTAACTCCTGGTGATCGCTGAGTTCTCTAGGGTTCTCCACTTTATCCTCTTCGGTGAAAACCAGCTCACTGAAAATAAACGGGCGCACAGTTTTCAAAGGGATGGCGCGCAAGTTGAATTGGTTTTTGTGGATTTTGAGGAGGCCTATGTGCTTTTCTAGGGATTCCCCGACGCATAGGGACGTGGCTACTGAGCTGCCGGGTTGTGTGATAAAAACGTCGTTGCCAGTTTGTTCCGGGTTGATTCTGCAGTCGTGCTCGTGGCCCCAAATTACTAGATCTAGTACAGAAGGTAGCGCTTCGTCGGGGATGAAACATTTTGCCCCCCTGTTAGCTCGGTTTTGGTGTAAAACCAGCAAATGAAACCAACTATCTGTGTCCGAAGGTGTCATAAAACTAACCTAAAAAATCGAAAATTAACCAATATCTGTAATTTCTTGTGAAGTTGAAGGATTATGAAAGGTTTTACAGCTCCGTGTTATAGAAATTTAAAACCAAATTTTAAACCATTAAAAATACAGAAATAGTTCACTTACTCTATGGGCTGTGAATAATCTGGCAAGTTTCTCATCCTTAATATGCGACAACCCATACAAAGCCAGCTTGGTTCGGCCCTTTTTAAGCAATATAGGCTCGATATCAATACTTTCGTAACTGTTGTACCTTCCGAAATAATTAACTAAGCCTGTCGAGGATAATATATTCAAAGCGGATATCTGTTGTACCCCTGTAGGGTCATCGTGGTTGCCGTGAATAGAAAAAACAGGAAGTTCTACGTTTAAGTTCGGATCTTCATAGTTTACAGTATCGTTTACTGTGCTTGAGAAATTGAATGCTGGATCAGAGAGAAACTCGATTTGAATAGGTCTATCACCTAGACAGTACCTATAAAAGGGGTATATTTCATTTAGCTTATTACAGAGTATAGAAATCAAACCTTTTTAGTAGCTCAATACATTTATTAAGAGCATAACTGGAAGGCCTGGTATCATGAAACAAATCGCCGCCCAACAGTAAAAAATCGGCGTTCTCCTCTTTGGCATGCCTCAATATTTCCTCAAACGTATCGAACGAGTCTTCGGCTAGAGATTTACAATAAATATTACCAGAATATACCCCAAAATTTAAAAAAAATACAACCTATAAGTAGATCTTTTTCGCCATATCCTAAATGAATGTCTGTAGCTACAAGAATAGTAAGTACATCTTGATCGTCCCTTTCCCCTTGAACATCTTCGTTTTCATCTTGACTCTCTTGAGAACTCATTTTCTTTCCAATATACCAAAAAGTTATTTTAAAATGAGCCGAAAAACTCTAGAATTTTTAGGTTAAACAGCGCGGGTAAATAAAATTCAACTTTAGTTACCACAGATTAAATATAAATACGACATAATTTTTATTAATCGGTGCGTCGTCGATGTTGCCAGATTGCAAGTTATTTTGGAATAATTTTCAGTAGAAAACAAATTATGCCTTTTTTCAGTGTTATCAATATTATATTATTTACATTATTACATTATTCTTTTTATTAAACAGAAATAAAACTCTAGATTGACGCTACGTTTAAAAAGTGCTTTATTAAAAATTCGGAAAATTAAAAGAGGTGTGTCCAGGTTTCTTCTATTTTTTTGGAATTTTTGAATGCTGTAGCTCCATACATTATATTCGTACTAAGTATTATAACATTCCACTAAAATTGTAGAATCAGCAACATTAATAGTTACCTTGTTTAATTCTGCTTATACATATTGGATTAATTTTTCTGCTACTTTAAGATTTTTAGATATCCTTACACCTAATTTATGTGATTTTCTTAGCATATATAAAATATAAAAAAAATCTTTTTCTTCTAAAATATAAAAATATATGATTTATTATATAATGAAGATATCTTAACAGTTATTTTCCACACCACAAAGCATAATATGTAGTAAGTATACAAACCGTACATTGTGAGACAGGAAATTGTAGAGAGAAACAAGCCCTATAACATAGGATACAACATTTTAATGAACAGTGCTTTCCATAAAATCATTAAAATGAAAAATATACGAAATAATATACATGTACTGATTTCTTTCGAAAATCGACAACTATGAAACTATGAACTCTTCCTGGTCACAAACGGTACATTGTGAGACAGGAAATTGTAGAGAAAAACAAGCCCTATAACATAGGATACAACATTTTAATGAACAGTGCTTTCCATAAAATCAATAAAATGAAAAATATATGCTGAATAAGAAAAAATCCGTAAATAATAATTTTTAATACGATAATAATAAGATATGAGATTTTTTAAATTTATTTTAGAATTTTTTTTTATATTGTTCCTGTTATTTTTTTATATGAATTTATCGTTTAATTTTGCTTGTATCTTTTCGTAGATTTACTTATTTGTAGTTTATATTATTTATATTTTTAGTATTAAACTTGCAGAAGTAAAATTCAACGTTAGAAAAATCATTTGTCTTATTTTGTGCCATAGAATTTTTTTTGGGGATTTAAGTCTTTTTGGACAATAATTTCGATCATTTCAAATTGTATTGCATGGATATGCGTTTATATTACAAAAAAATGTAGTTTTAAACATAATCTACCGTAGATGGTATGGTTCTAAAAGTACCAAATTTTTTTACTCCATTTTTAAAACCTTTGAAAAAATAATATGATTCCTTTATTTCAACATAAAATATAAATTTATCGCTCTATACACACATGATCTATTAAAATAATTATAGTGCTTAGTACTTACTGTATATTTCCTGTGATACCAGACTTTAGAATAGTCTCCTACTTTTGTGTCGTCCATTATCAACTCTATATCTTTGATTTTTCCCTGTTTTAATGTACATTTCCCAAAAAAAATTATCTAAAATGAAAAGAAAAATATCAATAAATAATATATTAGAGAAACCAGAGAGTTTAGGAGATACAATAAGATAAGTTAACGAAATGCTTACCTATTTTTTTGTAAGACCATCGCTTCACAACTGCCTCCCATCTTCAAATTCTTGCAAGAAGGAACATCCAACATAGTTTTAACCTAAAATATTAAATAAAGATTATTATATAATTAAGAAAAGGTAACAATAAGAGGTTAAAAAATAATATAAAATAATAATTGCTTGTCGTTCTCACCGTAGCGAGTAGCTATTTTAAAAACCAAAATAATTTGGTAGCTGCTACAAATATCTGAAAATGTTATCTTCTTCTCCTATCCATGCCTATATATTTACTTCTTTTTTCCATTTTCCAAGATTTTCTTGACTTTATGGTGAAGGAAAATATAATTGGTTTCAGATTTCCGATAAATATTCCCTAGAAGTTTGATACAAAAAAGAAAAAAGTATTAGTATTGATACAATGACTATAAAAATACAAATATAATTATAAACTAGAATTTTGTCTTATAATAGTAAATATTATGGTTTACCAAAATAACTCACAAATTTATTGCCACATATTTATACGTTTTTTTTTTCATAAAATAATTTCTTACTTAGACATCCAATATATTTTATTTGTACACTTCAGTTTCGATGCAGATGATTTTATCTAAAAAATAAAAAAACATATTTAGAAATCTAGAAAATTATGAAGTTGTAAGAAGATACTTTCTTACCTGTAATCCTCATCAACAGATTGTTCAACAAACACTATGATAAAATTTGGGCTTGATGTTCTTCAAGACTATTGGCAATTAGGACTATGTCATCAGCGAATCTTAGATAGTTAAGATATTCCCCATCTATTTTTAATCCTTTATTGGTCCAGTCCAGTTGACGGAAGATTTTTTCTAGCGTTGCTGTAAACAGCTTTGGGGATATTGCGTCTTGCCTGTAGTATACAGGGTGTCCCAGAAGTAAGTGCAAGTATTTTAACTGGTAGTATAGTTCAAGCCCAGAAACACGCCTATGAGTTTTTTTCGCGAAAAACAAATTTGAAAATTCGAAATTTTTGAAAAAAATCTTTGGAAATTTTTTTAGTTTTTAGTTAAAAAACAGAACTTCTTGATAATATGGCAACATATAGGTATTAGATTAAATTTACAAGAAAGAAAATCCAGAAAAGATCCAGTGGTTCCCAAAATTTTAGCACAAAAAACATTTTTTTGGAAATTTTCAAAATAAAATAACTCCGATATTTTGGACTTACTTGAAAAACGGTATAGAGAAAATATGTTTCTTTTATCGAGATCTACCACCCGTTAAAATACTTGCACTTATTTCTGGGCCACCCTATATATCACAATATATTTTTTACACTCATAATCTGTCTGATATCTTCACATCACTCAACACTACCCTCCCAAAAATTCCAGATATATTCCTGAAAAAAAGGATATGCAACAACCAATCCACAATACCTACAGTGCAGCTCATACAGAGAACGTTAGTCCCTGAAGAGCTTGGAGCTGAAAAAATTGAAACACTGAACATGAGCCAACGTGAACCTGTAAGACATTCAGATGACCTTAACGATAACTACTCAAAATGACTCTGCTGTGGTTCCTTGGAGACTCATACAAAGACTGATAGTACTAGAGCATCTTGAACTACTGCTGTAAAAAATAAGAACAACAAAAGAATATCATATACGTAGAAATTCTGTGGACTTCAATATGGCTTCGACATGACTGTCTAACCTGTTGCATAGAGCTTCAAACAAAGTAGATCTTCAATCAACGTAAATCTATAAGAGACAAGAAGAACCATACAATAATCTTCTAAAGGCGTTAAATCAAGTAGGCTGCAGTAGTTCCTGGGAAGCATCGTACTTATGGATCATTATATTCCCATTCTTGCTTCAAACGTTGTAAAACTTCAACCCATGTGAACCTATGAAACACAAGAACCCCACAAAAATATTCTGCAGGCATCGATTCAAACTGGCTGCTGTGGCTCCCTATTTGGCTCATACCAATACCTGTAAAAACTAGTATCAAAAAAAAGACTACCATATACATAGAGATTGTGTAGACCTCAATTTGGCTCCGAAATGACTCTAACCTGTTGTATACAGCTTCAAATAAAGTATCTATATCTTCAACCAGAGCGAATCTATAAGACACAAGAACCCTACAAAAATCATCTGAAGATGTCGACTCAAACTGGAAGCTCATAGAGGTTATCAGTCTTTGTAGAGCGCCAAGACCTACTCTTGTAAGAAATTAAACCAGACTTAGATACGACCCTGTTAAGTTTTGAACCTCAAAACCTTAAACTTGAACTAATGATGACCTCAAAAAGTCCTAAAAATTTCTACTGCACTACTAAAAAACTCGATTCCTTTTTTCTAGGCCCTAGAATCATACCTGAACTTGAATTGAAAATACAAAAATAAATTTAAAACGTTTAGACTATTTGTATTGAAAATTTAGTTATTGAAATGCTTAGATATTGGCAAGAGTTTATTCATTATTTAAAGTAGTAATAAGTAAAAGAAAGTGAGTTAAAAAATTAGGAAGTTATAGAGAGTTACCTACACCAACACGTTTAATTTAAGAAAATAAAAATATCTGTTAGATATTCTCTAGATTTCAATTTGACTAAGATAATATGTAGAATGATATTAATTATAGTTAATAAAAGTTTTTTTTCAAATAGTTTAAATCAGACAGAATCTAATCCCAAATAACGTTAAAAAGAAAACACTAAAACAATAAAAGACTTGGAATCCTCATTATCTTAGCACCCTCGATTCAACATTACAGAGACTAAAATAGGATGATTATTCTATTAAATTTAGTTTAAAATTACAGAAAATACTAATGCTAATAGTGACCTAGAAAGCCATAAAAATCTCTACTACACAACTTAAAAAACTTGATACCTTTTATTCTGGGGCCTAGAATTATATCTAAACTTGAATTGGAAATATAAAAATAAATTTAGAAAATTTAGACTATTTGTATTAGACCTTTAGTTATCGAAATGCTAGATACTGACATGCGTTTACTCTAAAATAGTAATAATTAAATAAAAGTGAGTTAAAAAAATTAAGAAGTGAAAGAAAATTACCTACACCTACATGTTTAATTTAATAAAATAGAAATAACTGTTAGAGATTTTCTAGATTTTAATTTGACTGAGATAATATGAACAGAGCTATAAGAACATCAAATAGATTCTTAAGAAAAACCGATAGACATAACAACCCAATAAAAAGACCGATAGACATAACAACCCAATGGACCTCTGCTGCTTTCGAGAGGAAAGCATGTTCATTGCTTCTGTGAGGAGCCTCCACAGAGGACGTTAGCCCCTGCGGATCTCAACCCAACGTGCTTCTGTGAGGACGCTCATACAGGGGACTTTAGCCCCGGTAGAGGTCGACTCAACACTCTGCTTCGCTTCTGTGAGGGGCCCCACAGGTGACTTTAGCTCCTGCAGGACCGCGCTCACGCCATCTCCAGGGAAATAAACGAACGACCAAATAAACCAAGAAAATGTACATTTAAAAAAACTTACGTTTTTTTGCAGAGCATTCCCCACGACGTGCATCCCGGGCACAAGAAATATACGCTCACTAACCTGAAACAACAGAAAAAATACGTTAGTTGAAAATAATAAAACAAGAAATAAATCTTATAAAATACCTGATTTTATCTCGTTCCATGCTGTCCATCCTACTGTCCTTTTCCAGAAAATCTTCGTTCCAGGCCTGCACCAATCGTCGTGCCTCCTCAGAAACAGCCTTAAGGACAAGAGTACCTTAAGGCAACAGTTAGTGAAGAAGGTACTACGACTGAGACCTTGCACATCGGACATCTCAAGGCCACAAAAAATATATATTTACTACTATAGGTAACAAGAAAGATTTAAGGTGTCTTTAACGAGATAAATCTGTATAGAAAACTCTAGAGATTGAATAATAATAAATGAGGAAAATATGACTTAATTTTATTTTCAACGAGAATTTACTTTACTCGAAAATACAATTAATGCATTATTTTAAAATTGTGAAATTTAAGTTTTATTATATTAAACATGAACAAAATTGAAAATATTTTGAATGGTTTTAGTATAAACGTACAAGTTTATTAAGAAACCTGATACCTCACGTCTTTTTTTTAAATGTAAATGCAATTAGAGAATAATTAAAAAAAATAGTAAAATGATGATAGAAAAAATTAGATTTAATCCTATGACAATGCCCTACAGAAAACTATTACAGAGACTGGAATAAAGTGGTTATTCTTTGAAATTTAGTTTAAAATTACAGAAAATAAAAATTATGTCTTCTAGATTTTTTTGAAAAGTTTTTGAAAATTTAATCCCAAATAACGCTAAAAAGAGAACACTAAAACAATGGAAGACTTGGAATCTCCACTGCCTTAGCACTCTCGATTCAACATTACAGAGACTAGAATAGAGTGATTAAATTTAGTTTAAAATTACAGAAAATAAAAATAATATCCTTTAGGATTTTTAGAAAGAAAATCTAATCCCAAATAACACTAAACAGAAAACATCAAAATAAAAAAGGCTGTGAACCTCAATTACCTTAGCACTTTCCATTCAACACTACCGAGACTATAGATAAAAATATAAAAAAGAATAATTTTTGTTATAAAAACACTTGAAAAAAAATAGTTAAATGAAGATCCGATTTCCTGGCACATATGTATTTCATTAAACTTTGAGCCAAAAAAATGTTTTTCAATAATAAATTAAACATCACATTGTAAAAGCCAAATTGGGTTTAAATTATTTTGAAAAATAGACACCTCGAAAAAAATTAAAGATATTATTTCTTGTGATTTTTACAAACGACAAGAAATACAAAGGATTATATATGATTCGAAATAAATAAAGTATGAACGCAAATAAAAAGTATGACCTTAAAATGCTGTGAAAAGCCTTAGAACAGCCCCAGAACCACGAACCGACGCGACCGTTATAATTATGCTTTAGAAATGGTTCTTCTACATTTCCTCTTCATCTGCATACTGAAACAACGATAAAAAGAAGATCAGTAAAGATGCCCAAGTCCAGAATAAATTCAACTCACCTCCATTCCACGTTCTTTTACTGGCGATTCCTGCCACACGGCGTAAAAAGCAGTGTCGTCACACCGCGGGGGCAGAAGGACGCCCCTGGTTCCTCAGGAACTACGGACGGTCCCTGGGGAACCCCATTTATCGCGTCATCAGGATCGACAGAACCTGGAAATACTTTTTAGCAGCGGGACATCTAAAAAGACAGACCGACTAAATTCACAAATAACACGCGCTGCGTACACGATCATAGTTCTGGAAAGATAGAAATATTTCTGAATTAGATTTATGGAAAAGAACTGGACAGGTGTGTGTTCAGACTTACCTCACTAACACTGACACTAGGCTGAATATGCTGGACTACGGCCCGTCCCATCATTCCGATTAGACGTCAAGAAGTATATGTCCCTCCCCCTCAGTGCTGGCTGTCCATC